AATGATTTTTCTCAAGTTTTCTGATAAGTTAATGATGTTTCATCTTTGATGTAAAACTATTTTCTACTTATCTTTATTGTAGAGCTTTAATAGAGCTGAACATGATACTGTTCTATGTTTGATAATTATTAATTAGTGAAATACCCGATCATAAATGCTCCTAAGGTCACAGTCTAGGGTTGTCGATCCTTCAATCGATCGATCACCCTTGAAAGCTTGTCGATCACTACGAGTCTACATAATGAATTGATAAAATTGAGGTACCGCCCAATCTATTCCATCAAATTCTGCATGAATACATGCGACGCCACCCTATGCCCCTAGTTGACACTTAACATTTAATGCGCCATTACCTTTTACTTGTATAAATACCTTTTACTTGTATAAATACCGACCCTCAGCTCCATCATCAAATCCCATCACTAATATATCACTACGCCTTCATGGCGTTCTTATAATCTCTTTCGAGATTAAACATAGATGCATTCACCATACTTGGTTGTTTAATCATTGTACAAGTTTCTTGAAAAAATTCCGGAGAAACATTCTCCTTGCCAAACCTAACGATCGATCGTCAATATCAGTGTCTCGCTCTTTTTACTTATGTTTACATTATCTCGGTTCGATTATCTTTTCCATTAAAATATAGCATAAATATTTCGTAAACCCTCAATTATACCATCTTAGAACATATTCTCCGTAACCGTTGGCAGTCCACCATCACCAAAGGTAACACTCTTGTATAAAGGGTAGATGTATGATCTTCCCAACTCTACTCACCCTTATATACTTACAAGGTATACATATTGCTCATCATCTTCATACACGTTCTGACTTGATCGTCGGATTCTCTGCGTTGGGACCAATCCCAAAGCTGTTTTGTAGGTCTATCGAACCGATCGAGTGTAGAACCAAGATCGTAGGAGTCGGTCTAGTTCATTTGACACCAGGGAGTAAGTCATTTAACCCCTTATAAATAATAGATATAACTTTGATTTATGTACCTAAACTCTCAAGTCTCTTAATTACAGTACTTTTTAGAATAAGATAATAAGATTTCTGACGTGAACGTTGGAGTGTTTACGCTGGAGTCTGCACTGTTTTGCAGGTTAATCCAGTTCGTAGTGCGAGGCGACTGAGACGAGGAAGATCAACCCAAAATTTTGGTGGATGATATTTCAGGCACATCAAAGTTGAATCCAAAAATTTTAGCAAATTTTCTTGAGAACGGAACAAAATTTTTGCAGATGCTAAAAAAATAAATATCAATGAAAAAAAAAATGTCCACATTGTAGAAACTAAGTCTATACACACTTCCCACCCTTCCAGCTCAACAGACAACATACAAAACTTAATTCAAAATCACTGAACCAAAAGTCTCCAAACTCAAGAAACCTTTTCCTTAGCAGCACACAAAACAAAAGCACAACCAACTAAAACTCTGCAAAACTCAAGTTGATCTCAACCCCAAACACTTATTAGCATCCCCAATCACATGATCAATCAGCCTTCTCCTCCAACTCTCCTTACTCTTCCCATCCTCTTTCCTCAACAGAGACCTCTCCAAATTCCCAATATCCGGACTCTCGTTGACCATCACAGTTGACTCAACCACTCGGTCAACCATCTTGAGGACCTCGCTCATCGTAGGCCGGTTCCTCGGGTGCTTAAGCAGGCACCGATTGGCAATGGCCGCCAGCCGCTGGGCTGACCTGGGCTCGTACCTTCCGTCGAGCTTTGGGTCCAGTATCTGTTCGAATTTCTTCATGTCCGAGAGGTGGGCCCGGACCCAGTCCAGTAGCATCTGCTCGTTCTTGGGCCTGTTACGGTCCAGTGGGCGCCGGCCAGTGATGAGCTCGTAGAGGAAGATTCCGTAGCTCCACACGTCGCTCTTTGATGTGAGGCGGCCCGTCTGGATGTATTCGGGAGCCGCGTATCCCATGGTCCCCACCACCTATTTTTTTTAGATCAAAATATATGAAGATTGAAGACGTGTTGTTTGTAATCTTTGACATGAAAAGGTCATGCATGATGTGAAAGAGTGGAAAAAAAAAACTGGTTAATGGAAAAGTGGGGCGTTGTTGGATATATATGCAAGTATCCATCAAATCCGGGACCAAAGTGGAAATATTTCATTCTTGAGTATTTATGTAATAAGATAACACACAAAGTTCATGATCCATCTCTTAAAATCTTTTACTAGCTTATAAAATTAATATACTTATACAAGATTTAAGTTTATGAACTGTTTGCATACCGCAGTTGAGACATGGCTTAAGCCATCAGCAGGACCTAATCGAGCCAAACCGAAATCAGAAAGCTTCGCATTCCACTGATCATCCAGAAGAATGTTTGACGACTTGAAATCTCTGAATATAATCTGCACCAAAAACAATGCTTAAAAACAACATTAAACATGAAAGAAAATGTTTTTTGTTTTTTTGACGAAAATAAAAAGCATGCAATGCACCTGAAATTCCATGCCCTCGTGAAGGTAAGCCAGTCCACGAGCCGCATCTTGGGCTACTTTCAGTCGGGCAGCCCACGGGAGGGGAGCGTGAGCCCGGCCCAAGATGTGGTCTTGTACACTTCTATTGGGCATATATTCGTACACTAGAAGACGTTGCATTCCCCTCTCGTCATCTTCTGCACAGTAACCGAGAAGTTTCACTAGGTTCGGATGTTCGACTATGCCGAGCACGTTC